CTACAGAACCAGAATCTGCATTTTAACAAGATTCCCCAGGTGGTCTGGCTACACAGTAAAGTTGGAGATATTCTGCCTCATGGCTCTCTTAAACAGAGGGGGAGAAAACAGAAACTGATAAAACATACCCTTTACACAGGGCTTCGCGCTAAAAAGCTCCAAAAGGCATATGTCATCATCTTTCATTACAGGACTCTGGTGCCTTTACCAATGTTTAATTTTTTTTTTTTTATTTTTCTTGAGATGGAGTTTTGCACTGTCACCTGGGCTGGAGGTACGACCTCGGCTGACTGCAACCTCTGCCTCCTGGGTTCAAGCCATTCTCCTGCTGTCAGCCAAGGAGCTGGGATGACAGGTGCCTGCCTCCATGCCCAACTATTTTTTTTCTTTTGTATTGTTAGTAGAGATGGGGTTTCACTATTTTGTCCAGGCTGGTCTCAAACTCCTAACCTTGTGATCCACCCGCCTTGGCCTCCCAAAGTGCTGGCATTACAGGAGCAAGCCACCGAGCCCCGCCTAAATCTTCTGTTTTCATTTTTGTCTTGAGGATCTTACGGCCCACTAGCTTGAGGTCCCCTTTCCTTGAGAAGAAAAGCTCCCTTTGTCCTTTGAGTTGAGCTCTTTGGAACTGATTTTTTTCCTTTCTGTCTCTAGAGGGGTTTTGACTCCCCAGTTTAGCATTTTATCATAAGGTGATCAGACAGCCAATGGCCTTTCACAGCTGGTGAGTGAATAAACCCTTTCTCCTAAAGACAATGGGCTTCTCTATCTAGGACCAAATTTGTTCTAATTAGCTGGCTCTCAGCTTTGCAGGAGCAAGTTTTCTGGATGTTAATAATGCTATTTGGAGAATACCTGTATCTCACCTGTTAATGAACATGATGTGAACATAAAATATTTTTCATTCCACAAAGAAAGACTTTATCCCATTCCCTGTCTCATGTCTCTATTCTGGATTTGCTTTGTTTTTAAATTATGTTCAAATCACACTTCCGTTAGTGTTAATTTGGTGGCTTTTGCAATGTTTTTTCATTCTTTACCAAGACGTGACTTCTTTGCTTAGCCCTGATGGAGGCATTCATTTTGCTCAGGGATGTCTTTTGATGATCGGCCTGAATAAAAGAGCAACGTTTCATGCCTGGTGCTTAATTTTTCGCCCGAAGTGTGTCGGGACGGAACATCTCTCGCAGATATTTACCTAGCAATGGTTTAGAGAAAATTAGGCTTCTTCAAACCTGTGCTGTCTGAATGCTGTTTGATTCTTGGCCCTCATAAAGGACATCTTAACTTTACCTACTGGTAAGATGTGGAAAAAATATTATGTGACTGGTAAGGATCCAGAAGCCCTGAACTTTTGATTGCTAGTTAAAAATTTTAGGCAGCTTTCTGTAAGATCAGACACGACATTTAGTTGTACTGACAAATATACCATTAATTAAGATACCGCGGTCCTTCCATACTGGCTAAGTAGCCCTTGCAGTAAGCACCCCTCCACTACCACCGGGTGCCATCCCCACTATATTCTGCTTCCATCCAACATCAACACCACCATTTCACCAGAACCCAGCACTGAAGTATTAACTCAGCACTCTGCTCTAATGCTAGTGCCCCTGTAGCTGGCTTGACTACAATTAAGTTGGCAGGTGGGTGCCCTGCTGTACAGGTTGCTGAATCTTTTAAATATTGTCTCTGTGAGAATTCAATCGTCTTGTTACTTAGCTCTTGAAGAATGTGCAAAACATTCAGAAAACAGGCCTCAAACCTTTGAAAGAACATACTGTTTAGAATGACAAAGAGAATTGCTGACTTTAAGATGGTTTTTAGGTAAACTTGTCAATGGATACAATGTTTTCTTTCTTAGAGGTGAGAAAAGAGTTGAGAAACTAAATTGACTTACAAGTCAAAAGTGGACTCAGGTCCAATAACATAAAGCTAGATTTGCCTCCAAACTTTGCACTTTTTTTTTTTTTTGAGATGGAGTTTTGCTCTTGTTGCCCAGGCTGGAGTGCAGTAGTGCAAATTTGGCTCACTGAAACCTCCACCTCCCAGGTTCAAGCGATTCTCCAGCGTCAGCCTCTCCAGTAACTGGGATTACAGGCCCTCACCACACCCTGCTAATTTTTGTATTTTTAGTAGAGACAGGGTTTCACCATGTTGACCAGGCTGGTCTCGAACTTCTGACCTCATGTGACCCATCAGCCTCAGTCTCCCAAAGTGCTGTGTTCCTATAGTGTCTTTAGATTCCAGTTCGCAATATTAGGTACACAGAAAAACGGAGGTGAGAGTGTTTTCTGGCTTTCTCTTTGAGATGCCTTTAGGGCCCCCTAGTGGCTGTCTTAAGACCTCAGGTTTCTTAGGATTAGGTCGCCTTGACCCTAATAAAAAAGATGAGAGACCTTTAGGAATCTCTTCAGTGACAGGTACAGTAACTGTGTGGAGATAAATAGGTAACAGTTGGTTTAGAGAGCTCAATATTTTTTCATTTCCCGGTTCTCAGCAAAAGCTGCGCTCATTCTTTAGAAATAACATATATCACTTTACATATTTTATTCTGCATTCTCATACTATAACGTTGTGGAAATCCTTTTAAGACATTTATAACCTGGTTTGTGTCAAAGGGCTATAATTCCTAGTAACTACATCCTACTTCAGGTTTTCCATGTATATGTACATACATATTTAGTTGCTTGGACTGGGGAGTTGAGGAGCCTTACAATTTTCCAACGTAATACTTTAAACGTGGGGCTTGATGTACTAACCAGAGGGCTCAGTATGTGTCATATTTCAGTCCGACAGCATTCCTGTCATTTAAAGCATTAGCTATGCCACTGACTACAGAAACTTGCAGCCTTGACTTGATAAAGCAAAATTTTTCTACATTTAAGGTGCTTATTGACTAATGAAAGTACATACTGTGAAATCCCCTAATAAGGCATTATGTCCTCAACGTACCTTACTGACCAGCGTGAATATTGCTAGCTCCCACCCCATGGTCATAATTTTCTTAGATTCCATCTAGAGAATGCACTACACTCGAGTAATTATAATGGAACTGTTTCTTTCCTGCAGGCTTATCTTTTAGTTTCCCATGTTATTCAATTATTTCTCCTTTGCTTGTAAATTTCAGGTCTCTTCCTTTCCTCAGTCACGTTACCTTTATTAATATGCTAATGTGCTGCAATAATGCATTTTGCACCACTAATGAAGTGAAGCAAAACGTAAAAAGAAAGTACAAATTCTTGCTTTAACTTTACCCGGTTCCGGGCCGTGGGAGGGGGTGAGAGAGGAGGAAGAGAGTAGGAAGGAAGGACATTCGGCCCGCAAAAAATAAAAATGATCCCTTGTTTTCAGCGCGTTCTAGAAGAGAACTGCACGTCAGAGGAAGAACTGAGAAGCCTTCGAGCTAAGAGGCTTGGCATTAAACTTTGACACTTTAATGGTCTCTAGGATATTAGATAATATTTTATCATACAATGTTCTTCTCCGACATGGTAATGGCATCAAAAACAAATAGGATCTGCTTTGCCTGCAACGTGCACGGTGAGACTCATCCCCGCACAGATAAGACAGCAGGACCCCAGCTTCGCAGTTAACTTATCCCGAAGCTCCAAAGCAAACGTCTTTTACTTCTTCGCCGGGGACGCTGCTGTGCCACCGCTGCCTCCCTTTTGAATTCTCCTGGGCTCGGTCAGCTGCTGAGATTAGGTAAACAGCGCCCCGGAGCCGGGGCAGAGCCGGCGCTGCTGCTGCTGCTGGTGGTGGGGGTCGTTGTTTCACCAGCCTGGGGGGAAGTGGGATGGGAGGAAGGGTCCCTCCCAGCTGGGTCCAGCCAAGGGCTGAGAGTGCGGTTACCCAGGCGGGAGCCTGGTCCGGAACCGAGCAGGGGCCAAGTCTTGGAAGCCCTTGCCCCACCCCCACCCTATCCCCACCAGCTCGACCTCGAGGAGCGGGGTCAGCTCGGGACTTCGAGCTCTGGGGGCGGCCTTTTCCCCCGCGCCCCCTCCCCATTCATTCTTCCCTTGCCCCTTCCAAGAACTAGGGTGGGCTTCCCGCTGCTTCGCCGGAGTCCCGGAGCGCCGAGAGGCGCGCAGAAGGGAGGCAGAGACCCGGCCGCCCGCCCCGCAGGGGGAGGGCTGGAGACCCAGGGGGGAAGGGGACCCCAGAAGCCCTGGGAGAGAGCTGGGGAAAAATCCGGGAGCTGGATCGCGCGCTCGGAGCTCCGGTCTCCGAGTCGGAGTTGTGCAGCCCTCGGCGTCCTCTTTCTCTCCCTGCCTCTCCGCTTTCCTCTCCTCTGGGTCTTCTCTCCAGGGAGGCATCCTCTTTCCATCCATTCTCACGACCCCGCGTCCCGACCCATTTCACCCACTCCCCCTGTGGCTTGGGAGGACTCTCGGCACCCCTACCCTCGTCCCGAGGACTGGGAGGCTGGAAGTCCATTCAAGGGACGTTGCGCGCCTGGTTCTTATGCCAGGAGGGAAAGAGCGAGAATAAAATCAGCAGGGGAGGGGCTTGGTGTGCGCGCACCGGGTGTGCGTTTGGGGTGGGGGAAACAGAAATGTAGTTCCCCCAGAGGAATAGGAAGCCTTAAACGGGATTCTCGGAAACCGAGCCCAAAAAGATGCCGTCAGAGCCCTTCACCGGGGCTCCTCACGGACTCCTGCTGCCCCGTACCCTGCCCAGCTCTGAGAGAAGCGGCGACCCGAGGCGGGGAAACTTCCTACTTCCCACCACGGCTGTTTTGTGCAATTTGGGGAGAAGGCTGCCCGGCCCTGCAAGCCAGCGAGCGTCTCTACCGCGGCAGCTGCGGGCCCGTCCCGCTTCCCTTCCCCCTCTTTTCGCGAGGCACGCCAAGCCCGAGGCGGCCGCGAGCGGCCGGGCTGTGGGGGGAGAAGGGCTGGGAGCTTCCAGCTTGCACCCTTTCATCCGGACCCGGCCCGGGATCCCGGCTCCGGGTGTTGCTTCCGCCTGCCTGCCCGCGAGCTGAAGAAGCACAGGGGAGGAGTCTCGCCGGGGGGGGCGGAGCCTGTGCGGGGGTGCCTGTTGGTCCGTGCGGCTACGGCGCTTGCCATTGGTCGGCCTCTCGGTCACGGGGTCGGGGGCGGGCCCCGAAGCGGGCGCCGGCCCCGCCCCCGCTCGGAACCCAGCCCCGGCTCGCGGTCCCCCCCGGCTGCACAGACATGACACAGACACACAGTCACTGCAGCTGCTGAGCGAGTCCGGCGCTCTGGGCACGCGGAGGCGGCGGGGCCAGCCCGGAGCCCGGACCCCAGCGCCCGCCCCTGCCGGCCCCGGCGCGGCGGCCCCCTCCTGGCCGGGCGCGGGAGGCGGGGATCGCGCGCCGGCTCCGGCCAGCGGCGCCCGGCTGCCCGCGGCGGCTGCAGCGGCCGCCCAGCTCCGAGCGCCGCGCGCTCCGGGAAGCCGGAGCATCTCGGAGGCGGCGGCGGCCGAGGCCGGCGAGCGCTCCTGGCGGCGGGGGCCGCCCGCCTCGGCTCCCCGCACCCACTGGGCCGCGATCCGTTCGCCGCGCCTCCGCTCTTGTGACCTTCCCGGGGCGCCTCCCCTGGCCCCGCGCCCCCGGCCCCGCGCCCCAGGCCGGGGCGAGGCCCTCTCCGGCGCCTCCTTCCCGCGGAGCCGCGGGCGGGCGGCGCAGGCCCGGGGGGAGAGCGCGCCGCGGCCGGCTGCAGCGCCCCCCCCGCCCCGCCCCGCGCCGCTGCGCTCGGCGCCCGGCCCGGCCGGACTGCTCCTGCCCCGCCGCCGCGCCGGAGCCCGGGCGCCCGAAGCTGGGGGCGCGGCCGCGCTTGCCTCGCCGGGCCATTCGCGGGCAGGCCCTGCCCTGAAGGGGCGAATCGGCTGGGAGCGCGGGAGGTGGAGTCGGCCCCGGCGGCCGCTCCCTGGACCCAACCCGAGGCGGACCCAGGCCCCTGCCCATGCGGGGCGCCTCCGGCTCGAGAGAGTCCCTCGGGCCGGGAGCAGCTCCAAGCAGCGGCCCCGGAGGAAGAGGAAGAAGGGACAGTGTTCAGCGTGGACAACCCGGACCCTCGCCGCGGCATTTGAAGCCGGGGGCAGTCCCGAACTCTGCGCTTGGCACCGCCGCCCGAAGGAGGAGAGCGCCTGCCGGGACCCTGACCCGGACGCCCTGAGCCTCGTAGGTGGCGGCGCCACCCGGTTCATCCGTGTTTTCCTCTGCCTGGCGGCAGTCACGGCTAAGGTAAGAGCCCCGGAGCGCGAGAGTCGCCGCGGCGGCGCCGTGGTGTGCTGCGCCGGACAAGTTCTCCGAACCTGTGGCTGGTAACCCCTGTACTCGGGACGCCGGCGGGAGGGCGGGCACACCCTCTGCTGCCTGGGCCGGGAGCCCTGAAGAGGCGAGAGGTGGAAGCCCCCATTCTCCGACGACCCCAGGACCAGTCTCAGGGCCTGCTTCGCTTCTCGGCACACAGGCTGCTGGCAGGGAGCGAGCCACGAGGAGTTTCTGGTTAACACCAGGAGGGCAGGTGACCGCTCCCCGCACCCTCGGCCCCGCTTGTTAGCGGTGAGCACCTGTAGTTGCCAAGTCTGCTTTGGAGAGGGCCCTTTTCGGCGGTACGCAACTACCTTTCCTGGTGTGATGCTGTGAATAACTTTTCTTGTTCCTTGTTTCAGGCAGTCCGGGGCAATTTGGGGGCGAGCAGCCACAGCTTGTGAGTCCGTCTTTAGGACGGAGTGGTTGGTTGGCATTACTGTTTGCAGGGGGGTACCCCAGCCAGCATGCCCTTCCTCTTAGGCGAAGCTGGTTGTGAGGAGTGATCAATATGGAGCTATCCAGATATTCTTGTAAATATCATTGCTTTTGAAGTTTTGGAGTGAGGACTCCAAACTTTGTGTATCCACAAGTTATTTTGTTCATCGCCTTATCCTCTTTTAAATTTTCCTCTTAAGGAGCCTCAGTTGTGCAAGACTGTCCTTGCCTGTTTGAAATTTATTAAACCTATGAGCTTCCCCCGGAACAATCTGATTTTAAATGGGTCACTTCGGAGGGAACAGATTGTCTCTTGCACACTGAATCCATCCCTTGGGTGACCCTGTTTAATGGGGTTGGATCTTTTTTTTTTTGTTCTGTCCCTGTGCTGATGTACCTCGGTTGAGAAGGTTTCTGCTGAATTCAGAATCCGTGAATTTTGTCACTCAGTCCATTAAAATGATCTCCTGAGGGAGCAAAATAGCAGCTTACATTTTCCGTGAATGTCACTGGAAGTTTTACAGGGTCTTATGTAAGTGCCGAGAGAGAAAGAGAGAGAGAGAGAGAGAGAGACAGAGGAGTGGGGGGAGATCAGGCTCCTGCTCCCTTCAAGGGGAGACATGGAGGGGGTGGCAGGTGGGGGCGTCCACCTCCCTGACATGCAAATGCCTTTCCTCTCTGACACAGGTGTGGAGACCTGAAGTGCTTATTCACTCCGTGGAGGCAGTCACCTCAGGTTAATTTTTCTCCTCACCTATCCCATCTTCCCATCTCAGGAGTCATCTTCGATAGACTTAAGGAAAGCTTCTAAATTAAGAAAGGAACAAGAGGTGGTGTCTTTTGTCGTTCCTCACAAATGGGTGACATGAATGAATTACTCACCCACGGCACTCTGGGTCCTTACTGGGGGAAAAAAGATAGCCGGCTTTAAGATTTCACACATCTCTTAGTGTACCTTTATTTTTCAAGAGTACTTTAGTGAAAATTGCTTGTGGAGAACACATTTATCGAGCCTGTCCCGGTTAATTCCATACCAGGAAGAAAACTCACTCGAACAGAGAGGGAAAAGTCATCAAAATTTAGAGGTTAGTGGGTTTTCAAGAGTGGCAAGGAAAGGAATCCAATCCCCCTGGCAGGACAGAGATTTTTAAAGGGAAGATCGGGTCACTCTGGAGTGAGCAGTAGCTGCTGGTAATTGTGGGCCCTCCTGCTTCACTTAATGAAGTGTGCTGGGGTGTGGGTTAACTTTTTGATCTGAGCTAATGCAGACTCATTTGGTTTTATTTATTTATTTATTTGCACTGAGCGCAGTGGTGCAGTCTGGGCTCACTACAATCTTTGCCTCCTGGGTTCAAGGGATCCTTCCGCCTCAGACTGCCGAGTAGCTGGGATTACAGGCACGCGCCACCATGCCAGGCTAATTTTTATATGTTTAGTAGAGACGCGGTTTCTCCATGTTGGCTAGGATGGTCTCTATCTCTTGACCTTGTGATCCGCCCGCCTCGGTCTCCCAAAGTGCTGGGATTACAGGCGTGAGCCACCATGTCTGGCCTCCTTTGGTTTTTAAACCATACCTGGAAGGGCCTTAGAAATGAAATGAAAGGTTTTTTTTTTGTTTTTTTAAATCTCATCGTAGGTCTCGGAAGTGCTTTCATCTCTTGGGAAGGTTGTGAAAGTTTCCTTTGTTTCTGGGTTCCTGAGCTGCGCTTTAAAGTTGATGCCAAGTGCAGGGAGGGTGTGTTCTGTAGGGTTGGCATCCTTCAGCCACCTACAGTAGCAGGACACTAGGGGGGACTAGTTTTCTTTTCTCCATCGAAGAAGAAAAGACCAGGACCCCATGTTACTGTGGTTTATCTGGAAGGTTCATGATCCTGTGGTTTATGTTGAGGGTTCATGGGATGAACTTTGCACTATTGAGTGGATTCTCAGTGCCTAAGGGATAGACTTGCTCACATCTAAAGTGTCGTTTGGACAACTCAGAACCGGTTAACTGCAAAATGTTATGTGACATTCTGAAAAGACTCAGTTACAATCTCTTAAGTATTTAAGGGCTATACAGAAGCTCTACCGTTTGAATATGATACCATCCTAACTTTAGATTCCTTAACAGTTTGTAATCAACACTTCTTTTTGCTTTTTGACTACATATTCCCTAAAATCATCATAAAATCACACAGCTTCAAAATATCTCTGCAGTGGGCTCCATCAAACTTAAAATTCCCCTTAAAAATACAAGCCTTATGCTTCGAGATGGTCACGTAACCTTTGGCAGTGTAGTTGCACTTCCATCTCTGATGCTCTCTGCACTTTTAATAGTATGAAATCGTTAGTGTCTGCGGGCCTTCCAGCAGAATTGAAAGATAATTCTGCTTCCCTGAAGAACACTGCCCCATTGCCTAGGTTTACCCAAGTACCTAGGTCTTATCAAAGGTGATCCCAGAGGTGGGGGGAGACAGGAATGATGAACGTGGATGCCTAGGGAGAGCCTGCGGTTTAGAATACTATCAGAATCCCAGCACTTTGGGAGGCCAAGGCAGGTGGATCACGAGGTCAAGAGATCGAGACCATCCTGGTCAACAAGGTGAGACCCCGTCTCTACTAAAAATACAAAAATTAGCTGGGCATGGTGGCGCATGCCTGTAGTCCCAGCTACTCCGGAGGCCGAGGCAGGAGAATTGCTTGAACCCAGGAGGCGGAGCTTGCAGTAAGCTGAGATCGCGCCATTGCACTCCAGCCTGGGTACCAAGAGCGAAACTCGGTCTCAAAAAAAAAAGGATACTATTAGAAAAACACGCAAATGTCACCAAGATATTGATCATATGGGATTCTGAAAGGCCCAGTTCGGCAAATAGATCTGTTTGAAACCTGTGAACCCACCTGAGTTATTACTTTTCCCTGAACCCTGGGGTCTGGTAGGCTGCATTTGTGACCCTTTATCCATTTGTAATGTGCATGTTTAGGTAGTTGAAGGGGAGCTACTGTTGTGATCTAGGTAAAATGGTCAGCATAAAGCTTTATTTCTAACATAAAGGCTTTATAGATTGATTCTCTTGGGCACAGTATAGCCAAGGGGTAAGAGATTGGAACAGGAAAATACCATTGCATTTGCCATTGACCACCAACAATGGAAAACCTATCCTGTGCAGGATATATGCTGTCGTCCTAAGGCATGAATGAAGCCTTATGAATTTGATGGAAGTGAGATGGCAGAAGTAGAGGTAGGAGGCTGGTCTTCCTTATGGTCATGAGCGAGTTGAAGGTGTATTTTTGGCCAGAGATTCTCAGAAAGGAGGAGCATACTGAATTCGGGGGGCAGGGCATAAGACCCAAGAGACAGAGCTCCAGACACCCTGCCATTGACACACCTTGGGGTTACAGCCACCTCGAAAAATCTGGTGGTGTTGGTGAGGCTGCTGTTGTTGGAGTACTTGCCATTGACAGGTGTTCAGCGTTTCTCTGTCATATTGGCGTGTTGAGAACAGCAGACAGCAACCAGTGAAGATAAGGCTTCATTAAATATATATATATATTTTTTGAGACGGAGTTTCGCTCTTGTTACCCAGGCTGGAGTGCAATGGCGCGATCTCGGCCCACTGCAACCTCCGCCTCCTGGATTCAGGCAATTCATTCCCCTGCCTCAGCCTCCTGAGTAGCTCGGATTACAGGCACGCACCACCACGCCCAGCTAATTTTTTGTATTTTTACTAGAGATGGGGGTTTCACCATGTTGACCAGGATGGTCTCGATCTCTTGACCTCGTGATCCACTCGCCTCGGCCTCCCAAAGTGCTGGGATTACAGGCGTGAGCCACCGCGCCCGGCCCCATTAAATATATTTTATAAGACTTTTCATCTTTTCATTTAACAAGTAGTAATAGACCATCTACCCCGTGGCAGGTGCTGTGCTCTGTCTTGAGGTTACAGAGGTTCTACATTTAGCTTCTAGTCTTTTACGGGGTTGCAGACATTCAACTATGATTACTAGCTAAGTACTGTCCTGCAGACTTGTTCAAGGGATGAGTTTGAATGTCCCAGGGTGGAAGGGAGGAAGGGGATCTTAGGTAGAATGAGCAGCATGGAAACCCTAAAGTATGTATTGTGGTGTGTATGGAGAATAGTCACAAGTTAGTGTAGCCGGAAGGTGGGATGTGCCCCAAGAGGGAAACACGGTGTTAGAAGGGAGATAATAGGATTCCATGCTGAGGGCTGTGCCCCAGCTTCTTGCTCTGTGTGTTCAAATAATGGCAAGAGTGGTTGTGAGTTAAAATCTGAGAATGCTAATTGGTTATCCCACATTGTTACTAGAAACAAAATTTTCTTTTTTGTCCATTATCATTCTACATATAGCATTTTGCCTGTTATTTAAAAACCTATTAGCAATGCAAATAAAGAAAGGGTCCCTTATCAACCCTAAGTCTGCCCTCTTGTGTACATGAATTACACCTGGCACTTTCATTATGTGATTATGCAGCAGTGGGGAAAATGACAATGTTA